CTCCTGAGCTACAGTGAGACAAGTGAGACCTGCAGTTCTTAAAATATTTGTATAGGGTTCTTATGTGACCTCCTGTGAGTCGTTGATGTGCTCTTGGAGTGATTTTGATTGGCTGGTCAATCCTGGGAAGGTTCACCACTGTTCCACGTTTCTTATATCCATGGTTCTCTGGAGTCCCAAAGCCTTAGAAATGACTCTGTAACCCAGGGGTAGGCAACTCCAGGCCTCGAGTGCTGGTGTCCTGCAGGTTTTAGATCGCACTCTGGGTCAACACACCTGAATCAAATGATTAGTTCATTACCAGGCCTCTGGAGAACTTCAAGAAATGCTGAGGAGGAGTCATTTAGCCCTTTAAATCAGCTGTGTTGGATCAAGGACACATCTAAAACCTCCAGGACACCTGCACTCGAGGCCTGGAGTTGCCTACCCCTGCTGTAACCCTTTCCAGTGCCATCGTTTTTCAGTTATTTATTTAGATCGTTGCATGATGCGTTGCTTTTTTAGATCTTTTAGCTCCTTCACTTTGTCAGACAGGTTCTATTTAAATTGTTTCTTGATTCGACAGGTCTGGCAGGCGTGGGCGTGGCTAGCGAAAGTGTACTCGGCTTTCCAAGAAATGGGGTTAATCACAGATGATTTGTGATTTAAATAGATTTTCTAGATTTTTTTCTATTAATAAATAAAATCATAATTTAAAAAGTGCATTTTTTTATTGACTCGGGTTATCTTAATGATCTGAAACATGTAAATGTGACAAATATGGGAAAAATTAAGCTATCAGGATGGGGAGGAGATGCTTCTTCGCAGCACTGCACGTGTTTTAGACTGAATTGATTCTCTCATTCCTGAGTGTAAGGATGTTGAAGGTTTTTCAGCTCTTTGTTTCCATTTAACCATTGCTTCACTGTGAACAGGTGCTGCATTACTGGCCCACCCGGGTGAGGACGCCAGCGGTGATATCATCGTGGTCTCGGCCCCCCGCTGCACGTTACTTCGAGCCGCTGAAGAGTTGGGTCTTTGTAAGACTTACCGCAGCGGGGACATGGAGGCCTTCTCCTACAATGACAGAGACAACTTTAAAGATTCAGGTGCAGTGGAGCAGCTTTGGGGGAGCACACTTTACATGGTTAAACACGACATTAGGAAGTACCCTGTAGAGCTTAGGGAGACTTATTAGAGCACTGTATCCCAGAACGATTTAGGAATATCCACAATTATTTATTTTGCATGAATTTCCTCTCTAATAGTAGCTTCCTAAAAATAATAAAATGACTTGCACAAACACTCTGGCAGGTGTTGACAGTACAAAGTCCAGTCCTGTGTTCTTTCATTACTCGTGTGGGTTCAAAGAGCATTCGAACAGTTCAGTGAGCTTCTTACTACTGTGCTCACTTTGAGCTCCTTATTTTTCTTCATGGATTCCACTACAGTAGCTTTGCATGATGCACAGCTCAAAATAATCCTCATTTGTCTGCTGTTGCGTCTTGATGTAGCTCTTTCACTTCAGCAAGCAGTTTCAGTTCCTCAGTTTGACAAAGATGACAGAAAGTCAGGAAAAGCATCGCGGGTAAACGATTTTTGAGTATGCTGATGCAAAGGATGATAATGAAAAACATTCACCAGTCTACTTGAACCAACTGAACCATTAGAAAACACTTTATTGTGAAAAGGCCAGCTAATGCATTTTTTGGATGTTTTAGCATGACAGCGAGGGTTTAACCCTCAGCATCTGATGTTACAATCTGAGCGTGACCTTTTGCACAAATCTCCTGTATCTGCTTAGATTGATCTTTTATAATACCTTTAAAACTTTGTTAAACTGTGCACTCACGTATTGTACAAAATAAATGTGGTATTTCTTAAAATCTTCAGTTTTTGACCTTTAAATGCTTTCTGGGGTCAAGGAAAAAAAAAGATTAATCTCTATGTGTCTGTTTAATGCATCTCTGTTCATGTGTGTGACAGATAACATGGAGGTGTTTCTGACGCTGGCGGAGCGACAGTACATAGTGAAGTATGAGCTGGATGGACTGCGGGCGCAGAGGGACCTGAGGATACCCGGCCTGCCTGAGAGCCGCATGCTGCAAAAAAGAGACAACATCTGTGAGTGTGGTTTGTGCTTTTTCAGATGTCATGTTTTCAGTGTGAAGAAACAA